GTGAAGACTTTTGTTTTCATAGTTTCATTTTCTCCTTCTTGAGTCATAGGAAACACCGTACTGTTAAAGGGGTCGAGGTAATACTAAGGAAACTGATTTCCACGTGATGCTCATCTCAAAATCCTACACCTACCCAATCCTTTTGAGTGAAGCCATTGGAAATCTCATATCAGTTCAGTCAATTTCTTCAGTGACAGAGACGGAGATCTTCTGGTCTCTGAAGAATTTGTTCTGGCTGAGGAGTTAGGAATTCGCTAGTGCGGATTGCCTACACAGTGAGGAACATGATAGCCCTGAGGAACTCAAACCTCAAATATCCGACCGTTGCTGTGCTACGCGCCAGCTGTCCCAAAATATCTACCCACCTAACGTCATATCCTTGAAGGGCATTTATGTCTTATCATGTCAGGCTGCTCCCTAGGCTATAAATAGCCGCCCCCTACAACCACTAGCTGGTTGGCTGCTCCGAGAGAAACTGACACATGTCATTTTAGAACATCCCATCCTCCGAGGACTTTGAGCGAAAATCATCAAGTGAGGAAAACCCAAATCCCAAACCCAAACCTACAAACCCAAAGTGATTGAGCATCACTGAAGAGATTGTTCCTACGTGGAACCGACAATTGTTACCTTTAAGGAATGTGTATCCTCTAGACGGTTAGGCATCATGGTCTGAGCATCCAAGAGGAATTGTGGATCGCCGAGTGACCTAGTCTGTGAAGGTTTGGAAGTCACTGTGAAGACTTACCACGAGTGTTGGGCGAGATCTGCGTGATCTTAGCTCAAGGAGAATAAGGTGAGGACTGTGTGTCCTCGAGTTTAAATACTCAGCCGCTCCAACCAGACGTACAACTGTCACAGCATTCGAACTGGTCGACCAAATCACTATCTTCACCAAGCCTACTGGCTCTATTTCCTCAACCCTTTCATTTCCTCATTCGTATGTTGATGAACCTGATCATTGCTGTTTGAGGACTTTGACTGAAGACTTTCTCTATTTTTCCTCAATCCCATTTCTTCAGTCACTTAGTCTTCAACCTGCTTATCCTGTGTTTACACTTTCGGTACTCTGTGTTTGTCTTTCATTTCATCATGATGATTATGCTATTGCTCTGTTATGCTTATACCTGAGTACTTATTCTGCTGCTAGTAGTTCTTTGCTTAGGAATTTCCTCACCTTGAAATTCCTCAGTGAAGAATTCATAAAAATCGCCTATTCACCCCCCTCTAGTCAACGTAACGCACTTTCAAGTGCTTGATCGGGACGGATCCTGAAGGTGTATGACAGCATCAACCGCATTGATAAACGCTTCCACTTAGCGATCTTCAAGGGTATGAAGATGCTCTCCCCCTCTCGTAGCTATGCATCTCCATGGATAGATCTTGCATGTGCGTAGAATTTTTTTTGTTTTCCTTGCGACGTTCCCCAACATCTTTCACGCTACTAATAGCCACGATTAATAAATGAGCTCAGCTCATTGTACATATGTGAGCCTCCCTCGTCTCCTTCTTCCTTTCCCCTGGTTCCTTTCTTAAACTCTTCATACATTTTTGCACATTTATATATCTAGCCAATTAATTAAGCCCTATACTAGCAAGATATAGCTACTCTCTCTCCCCTCTGCCCTCTCTCATGCATTAAATTAACTCTCTTCCCCCTCCATTAGCCATTAGGGATTAGCTAGGTCGTGAACGCAAGGATGTGACTAGTACTTTCGGTAGGAGCACTGATAGCCGTGATTCAGGCATGTGCCATTTTCATGCACAAGATAGTTGTTCGTTGTGCTGAGAGACCTGTCATTAGATATGCTCCAATGCTTATGCGGGAGCAGGAGAGGATCACCAATCTGAACTACATATACAACTGCAGCGACACAAAGACTCTGTGGATGCTTAGAGTGAAAAGAGAACCATTTCCAGACTTGTTCAGACCTTCAGGACTAGGAGGATGATGGAAGATAGCATCCACACCAGTGTGGAAGAGCAAGTCACAATGTTCCTTCATATTGCTGGCCATAACCAGAGGTTTAGGGTTATCAACAACACGTCCAGGAGGTCAATGGAGACCATATAAAGGTACTTCAAGCAAATGTTGTATGCTATTGGGGAGCTTAGAGGAGAGATGATCAAGTCACCAACTGGCCGGACTCCTACCAAGATTTGCACAAGCCCAAGATGGTACCCATAGTTCAAGGTGAGCAATGCAGTATGTACTTCGTTGCTTGATATGCTTAGATAGTTCAAGGTGAGCACTAACACAATCTTCATTTGCTATTCGAGGATTGCATTAAGGAAATAGAAGGTACTCATGTCACTGCCATAGTGCCTTAGACACAATCTACAACATACATTGGGAGGAAGCACTACATAAGTCAGAAAATGTGCTTGTCGCTGATGACTTCGATCTGAAGTTCATCTATGCGCTGGCTGGTTGAGAAGGGCCAGCACATGATGTCAACATTCTCAGTGACATCATCAGTCATCCTCATGGCATCAACATCCCTGATGGCAAGTTCTACCTGGGAGATGCTGGCTATGCATATCGGCCAGGTGTTTGTCCACCCTTCAGGAAAACCAGGTACCATATGAACAATTCTCTGGTGGGAACTATCCTAGGACTGCTCAGGGATCTCAGACACTCCAGCCTTAGAGTAACGGTTGAGAAGGCATTTGGATCTCTGAAGAACATGTTTAAGATCCTGGATCAGAAGCCATTCCACCCTTAACCTACCTAGGCCAAGCTTGTTCTTGCATGTTGCATTATGCATAACTGGATCCTGCTACAATGGGGAATTGATAAACTTGTGCCCGAGGAGGAAGAGTTGACTCCTGACGATCTTGACCTCGGTGGCTATGGTGTTGAGGCATTTGACAATGAAGCTTGGAAGAACAAGAGGCTGGAGTGGGCACATGCAATGTGGGATAACAGAGGTCAGACAAGGATCAACAAAAGAAGAAGAAGAAGAAGAGCAAGAGCAGCAGCAGAAGAGGAAGACGAAGAGGAACAACATCAACAACAGAGGTAAGAGGAAGAGGAGGGATGATGAACTTTCTCCATTCAACCATTTGGCTCATAATAATGCGAACTGCCATTTGATAGTAGTTAGGATGAACCGTAATTTGTTTCGTAGCTAGGAGTGAAACTATTAAGATCGTGTGTGATAAGGTCATCACTAGTGAGAAGTGGCGACAACACCTAATGCAGGTTGCAACCAAACATCGTGTCCTATGTGCGCC